TTTTGCAACAGTAAACACATTTTGTCTCCAGGAGAGTTAGTAATGTAAGGCCCTGGTCTGACCAAGTTTTGACCCGGCGGGACAGCCAGGCAAGTGAATGGAAGTGTCCACTGGGCTCAGGGAGGTAGTATGGGGCTGTGGTTCAGGTGTGGGCTTTGACCACGGCAGACCCGAGTTCCAGTTCCACCGACTGCTTTTGGTTGTGTGTCCTTCCGCAAGTTCTGCTTGTTCTTGGCTTCGGTTTCCTCCTCTGTAAAGCAGAGGAAGTCATTCGTGTCTCAGGGTTATGTGGATGAAATGGCGTTTTGCATGTCAGACGCTTAGCCTAATGCCTGCTAAGCAGCAAGTGCTTACTAGTGGTAGTAGTGGTATGACACCACGAAGAGTGCTGGGGCTTAGGCCGCTAACCTCTCCTCAGCCCAGCCCCAACTAATCAGGGGAACCCAAGAATCTCTAACTTTTGGCCAGGCCCTTCCTGACCCCAGAACTGTGCCAGGACACCTGACCCTTTGTGTCTTCAGACAGCAGCAAAGAAAACCTCATTTGGCTCGCTGAAGGATGAAGACCGGATCTTCACCAACCTTTATGGTCGCCATGACTGGAGGTGAGATGGTGCCCTTAGCTCGGTGGGTGGTCCTGGAGCAGGGCCTTTCTTCAATGCCTTTCCCACTCTGGCCAGGCTGAAAGGTGCCCAGAGTCGAGGTGACTGGTACAAGACAAAGGAGATCTTGCTGAAGGGACCTGACTGGATCCTGGGTGAGGTCAAGACATCCGGCTTGCGAGGCCGTGGAGGTGCTGGGTTTCCCACTGGCCTCAAATGGAGCTTCATGAATAAGCCCTCAGATGGCAGGTGTGTGTAGGGAGGCAGAGATGGGGTTGCAGGAGAAACCTTGGGGGTGGCTGGGGCTTCCCTGGGCCTTGGGGCCGTTTCCTTGGAAACTAAGAGTGAGTGAATGGGAAAATGTCACCAGAGCTTAAGTAGATGGGACTCAGTTCTCTCCAGTCTTCCTCAGTGGTAGCAGAATCAACAAAAGATTTTGACTGAGGCATACTTACTGGCCAATGCTGTCTTCTAATTTTATAGTTTTGTGCAGTCTCCTGGTCTTTTTGAGCTTGGTTTTCTTTATTGCAAGTGGATATTGTGCAGTGATAAGAAAGTTTTCATATAGCTTTTGCCCCTCACATTGGCACATAGAAAGCAAATGGTAAATGTCAACTACTTAACTTCCTTTTAACCCTAGAGATATGGCAGAGGTTCAGGAAGGTTCTCTGTGACCAAGAGCAAGTTTTGGTCTCTCAGGAAGACACAAGGGGACATTTGCACTGAGCAGAACAACGATCTTACCTGTGGTCAGAGCCACGCAAAGCTGTAATAGGCAGTGAGCTTGCTGTCGTTGATGGAGAGCAAGCAGAGCCCCTGGGGACATGTTGGGGGGACAGGGAGGGATTGGCTCTCAGGGGAGACATCTTTGAGGCTTCCTTGGGTGGAGGGGGAGCATGTAGTTGAAGGCCCAGCCCCAGCGGCCGTGTAGCCTCACCAATGTGCTGGCACCCACAGGCCCAAGTATCTGGTTGTGAATGCGGACGAGGGGGAGCCGGGCACCTGCAAGGACCGGGAGATCATGCGTCACGATCCCCACAAGCTGGTGGAAGGCTGCCTAGTTGGGGGCCGGGCCATGGGCGCCCGCGCTGCCTACATCTACATCCGAGGGGAATTCTACAATGAGGCTTCCAATCTGCAGGTGGGAAAGGGGAGGGGCCTCCACAGAGGGGAAGGTGCTGGGTGTGCATGGCCCCCAGAGCTACCTCCGGGAGCTTTTTGTATATCCCGAGCCTCAGCTTGGGAGGCTTTTAGGGCTCTGTGACTCCTGGGGCAGGGGCGGGCTCCTAGGTACTTCTTCTGCAAAAGGGCCAAGGGGTCATTTCAGCCATTCTGAGCTCGGCGGCCCCTGTAGTGATGGGTCCAGGGCCAGAGTCTCACACCATTCTGTTAGGCTCTTGTACAACAGTGACGAGGGAAGGGGACAGCACCTGGGACAATGCCTGGCACGTAGTAGCATTATGTTTAAGTGTTATTGCTACATATTTTAAAACCAACCTGGAGGGTCTTTTCCTCTCTTGCAGAAGTAGAACTTACTCACTGTAAAGATAGGAAACTGTACACATACACAGATCTCCTGCGGATCCACTACCTGAAGGAAACTGCTTATTAAAATTTTCATTATATCTTCAGCCTTTCTTTTAAAAATACATGTAGTTGGAGACATTGTTAAGTTGTCATTACAGAAGTAGCATGCTTTGTAAAATCCCTACCCCTCTCCCAGAGCATCTTCTGCTCACGCCCAAGGGGAACTTTTTCCTAGACTCTTATGAACACAGGGTTCCAGGGCCTGGTGTCCCTCCCCACCACACAATGTTCCCGGGCTGGCGGGAGTGGTTCCCTCACACTCCTGTCCCACAGGTGGCCATCCGAGAGGCCTACGAGGCTGGACTGATCGGCAAGAACGCCTGCGGCTCTGGCTATGATTTCGATGTGTTTGTCGTGCGTGGAGCTGGGGCCTACATCTGTGGGGAGGAGACGGCACTCATCGAGTCCATTGAGGGCAAGCAGGGCAAGCCCCGCCTGAAGCCGCCATTCCCTGCGGACGTGGGTAAGAGCTGGCCGGGTCCTGGGCCGTGTGCTGTGTCTTGTGGAATCCCGTCTGGTTTCACGTCCCCGCTGGTCATTCTTAGGGGATTTCCGAGTTCTTCTGGGCTGGGGGCCAGACACAGAGCAGGGTGGTGACAACGCAGAGGCCCGGCCTGCAGTCCCTCATGCCACCATGGCAGACACACGGGTCCTCTCCAGCCCTCCAGGGACTAGGGGGATTAGGGGTGAGGAGGCAGTGTAGTGCCTGCTGGAGTTCAGGGTCCCATCAGGGATGGGAATGACAAAGGAGTGAAGGGGAGCTGGGTCACAGAGCAGGATCCTAGGACAGACCCCACTGCTGCGAACCTGATCCCACCTGCCGCCACCCTCTGGTGGCCACCAGTCCCTCATCCCATTCCTCCGCAGGAGTGTTTGGCTGCCCCACAACCGTGGCCAACGTGGAGACCGTGGCTGTGTCCCCCACCATCTGCCGCCGCGGGGGTGCATGGTTTGCCAGCTTTGGTCGTGAGCGCAACTCAGGCACCAAACTGTTCAATATCTCTGGCCACGTCAACCACCCTTGTACCGTGGAGGAGGAGATGTCTGTACCGCTGAAGGAACTGATTGAAAAGCATGCTGGTGAGGCCCGGGGCCACCCAGGGCCGGAGCAGGGCAGGATGGCGGTGAAGAGAGCCAGGGTGGGAGGGTCTAGGGAGGCAGCGCCACACGGGGGCCGACAGAGGTCCTGGGCTCAGGACTAGGTAGGTGTGCTGATCCCAGCCCTGACCATCCATCCTTCTGGGGACTGACTGTGGTCCCAGGAGGTGTCATAGGCGGCTGGGACAACCTCCTTGCTGTGATCCCCGGGGGCTCATCCACACCACTGATCCCCAAGTCGGTGTGTGAGACAGTGCTGATGGACTTCGATGCGCTGGTGCAGGCGCAGACGGGCTTGGGCACAGCCGCTGTGATTGTCATGGACCGCTCGGTAAGGGCCACTGCTGCTCCCCACCCAGTCAGTACCCCTCCCCGGGCTTCCTGAGAACTCCTGCCAGCTCTTGGATCCCAGTTCCTGTGACCTGAGATACAGTCACTGGGAGAGGGGAGAATTCCCCCCCAAGACAGAATGTCCGTTGTGGTCTCAGCAGTGCTGGATGTGCAGGGTGGGGGAGGAGGTAGCCAGAACGCTGCCTGCATTGGGGTGCTGCTGGGGGGCTGAGGCTTCAGCCCAGGGGCCTGCTCACTGTCTCTGGTCACCCCAGACAGATGTTGTGAAAGCCATCGCCCGCCTTATTGAGTTCTACAAGCACGAGAGCTGTGGCCAGTGCACCCCATGCCGTGAGGGTGAGCACCAGGGGCAGCGCGGGGGCTTCCTTTGTGGCTCATCCTAGGTCTGGCTTAGGCACGCGGCAAAGGTTGGATGGGCTGTGGGCGCCGAGTGGACAGCGGCTGCTTCCCGGCCGCCGTACCTTCTCCGGGCCCCACCCTCCCCATGGCCCCTCCCCACAGCCCCTCCCCACGCCCTGGCTGGGGATCATCGGGCCTTTTCCTGCTGTGGCTGCAGGCGTGGACTGGATGAACAAGGTGATGGCCCGCTTCGTGAAGGGGGACGCCCGGCCGGCCGAGATCGACTCCCTCTGGGAGATCAGCAAACAGATAGAGGGCCACACCATCTGTGCCCTGGGCGATGGGGCCGCCTGGCCTGTGCAGGTACTTGCTGCCCTGCTTGTGGGCACTGGGGTAGGGCTGCTGAGGGCTCAGGGTGCTGGGATTTTCTCGGCTCTCCTTCACCGCGGCTCCTTCCCGCCTCCAGGGTCTGATCCGCCACTTCCGGCCGGAGCTTGAGGAGCGGATGCAGAGGTTTACCCTGCAGCACCAGGCCAGGCGAGCTGCGTCCTGAGCCCACTGCCCTGCGCCCGCCGCCCTGCGCCCGCTGCCCTGCGCTGACAGCCGTGCGGCTGGACGATAAAGCCGTGCTGCTCACTCTCCCGATGCAGCTTTTCTGTGGCCTTGCTCTTTGTTCTGCCCCAGTAGCCCGTTACTCATGGAGTCTGTTTCCCAGGCACAGTGAGAGGCTTCCTGTACCCTGTTTGGACCCCACTTCGGGGTGGGGATAGGTCAGCTCAAGGACATGTTATGAATCCACACCTTAGCTTCCTGTGGGTCAGTCTGTCCTCGGCCATCCTGAGTGCCCGTCCCTCAGTGCGGATGGCAGGGGTGGGGACAGGGGGCTCTCTCAGTGTGACTAGGGGAAAACAGTGGCCTGGGGTCCAGACCTGGGCCTGGCCCACTGTGGGCTTCTGGAGGGTGGGAGTAAGGAGAACGGGGCCCAGTCTGCCCTGTGAGGTGACGGACAGGGAAGAGAACAGACTCTGGTCTGCAGGTTTATTCTTGCTTTGATTGGCAGTGGGATGAACTGGGAAGGGTGGGCAGGAAAACAAACAATTTGACGTGTGGCTCGGTATAGTGGGTGAGGCAGCTCTAGGTCCTCCCAGCCTACGGGTCAGTTTTAGGGAGGGTGGTGAGCAGGGCCAGGCCAGGTACCCCTTCTAGTCGCTGAGCTGGAGGGACGCGCTGTCCAGCGGGTGCCACAGCTCCAGTCGGTGATCGCTGCAGCCCAGGCATTCACACCAGTGCCACTGGCATTCCCCGCCAGCCTGACTACTCAGCTGTACCCCACCTGGGTTGGGGGACAGGGGTCAGGAGCCACATGGGAGCCCATTGGGCCCCTCACCCTGCTCCCCTGCATTCTCACCAATGAAGTCATCAGCTGTGCCCAGGTCATAGTCCCATACAGACACCAGCAGTGTCTTTTGGGCCAGCTCCTCCCTTGGGCCTGCATAGAAGAACTCCTGCAGGGAAAGGGGCAGAAAGGCAGGAAGGAGGGGGGCCTTGAGTCCTTTACAGGTTCAGAAACAGGCTTAGGCAATGAGTTGCTTAGGTAAGGGGGTGGGACTTGTGCTCTCTGAGTGAGACAGAACACCAACCTCCCCAACCCCAGAGTAGCTGGGACTGCCCCCACCTGGCCCTGGCCTACCTCATTGAACTCGGGGTTCAGGGTCTTCTTCCGAACACTGGTCTTGTATTTAGATCTCTTCCCCACATTTGGATGCAGGAAACTGGTTGGGAAGGATAGGGTCAGTTTAGGTGTGGCCCCAGAGAGGGGTTATGGGGAACCCCCGCTGCCCACCTGCCTGTCCACCCGTCTGCACTCACAGGCGGACAAAGGGGTCCGAGTAGCCGTTGGCATCCATGGGGGCGAGGTGGGCACAGCGCAGCACACCCACCAGCAGGCCGCCCCGCCGAGAGCTGTAGCACAGGGACAGCAGGATACGTCCCCGGTCCTCCCCTGCTGCCGCCTCCTCCTCCTGCAGGGATGGGCTGTGGTCAGCCCGGTGTAACCAGAGCCCGCCCACCCGCCTGTGTGCACCCCCACAGGACGACTCAGGCTGGCGGCAAAGAAATCGGGGCCAACAATGTAACGTCAGGATTCTGTTTGCCAAAACAGTCACTGGCCTGGCGCCCTGAAAGGGAACTTCCAGATATGCAGTACTCTCCAGGGCCTGCTCAGGCCCTGGTACTGGTCAGTCCAGTGCACCTTTGTCCCGGAGAGGAAGGGCGCTGGCGTCTGAGTGGCACAAACATGCTAGGAGCTTCCTAAACAGCCTCTCATTAAGCGTCCATCACCACCCTTCCCTGCGCCACAGAAGCAGCTCCGAGAGGCTGTTCTCTACCCGATGACATAGAGGTCACTAAATTTACAAAACTCACCCCCTTCGCTCCCCACCGCCCAGGGGACCAGGTTCTGAATGGCCTTTGCCACCCTCAGTCCCTGGTGCTTGCAAAGGACTTAGGGAGGATGCCCAGGAGGAATGTGCTTCTCCCCTACTTCACACAGGATTCCGTTACGGAAAGCCCAGCCACCTTGCTCACATTCACTTCTCAGTGAAGGAGTGTGCGTAGGCACCCGCCTTGCGCAGTCACGCTTGTGTGCGTGGGGCTGGGACAGGAAGTGCGCGCCTCGGGGGGCCTGCGCACCTGGGTGGGACTTGCCGGCTGGGTCTAATTGGGCGGCGCAGCAACTTGCGGCTCCACCAGGGGGCAGACAGCAGTGCCTGGCCCTTCCATCCTGGAGGAGCTGGGCAGGGCCTGCCCTCAGCCTTGCAGGAGCCTCCCCCCTCTGAGCCCCGGGGTGGGGTTCTGGCCATGCCTTTGGTCTTTGGCACGGGGCCTCCTGCAGTCATTTCTGCCTCCTGACAAAGGCCTGTCTAGGGCTACAAGCCCCAGGAGTGGTCCCCACAATGCCCTAGGGGTTGACTAGAAGCCTGGGAGCCCCATGTCCTTCTCTCCTGGACCTTGACCTGCCCTCCCAGCTTGGGAGGATCATGGACATGGACAAATCCCGCCAGTTTCAGCCTCTACTTCTACACGGTCTCCGTCTCTGCCTCCTGAGAGCTTTGCTTGTCGCAGTACACAAGAGTTGCTCTGGGCTGCTCTAGTCAGAGAGTCACCCTCCCTGCCTACACCCTGGGGTCTGGCTGTTCCCTGGGACTACGAAAGCTAGGGCCTGTGAGAGAGATGGCTTCAGTTTCCCCAGACCCACCTGGGCCGGGACACATCCCCTCAACCCGCCTCAGGCCCTGCCTGATGCACTTTGGCCTGGGCCCCCGGCCTGCCCCCCGCATCCCTGCTTGGTCCCATCGTCCTACCCACCTCCTCATACAGGGACATGCCACGGGCTGTGTCCAGGCTCTTGGGCCTCTTGGTCTGAAAGAGCAAAGAGCCTGGTCACCTTGGCCAGACACTGCTCTGGGCCCCCTCCTTGCTCCTCCTCTTTCCAGCTTCCCCACCACAAGGATCCTGGTCCCCACACCCCTACCTGTGCCGGCCTCACTCACCAGCTTCTGCTTCTCCAGACACACGTCGAAGCTCCTGGCTCGGTTCGGCACCAGCTTCCTCAGGGGCACCCGCAGCTCCCCCAGAGGAGGCGCCCGCCGCCGTCGCCGCAGCCGTGGGTCCTCACACACACACAGCCTGGTGGCCGCCCGGGTCAGACCTGGCCAGGCAAGGCCTCCCCACCTCAGCACCCCCCACCCTGGACTTGCCCCCTCGTGGCCCAGGCCAGATCCTCACCGCAGAGTCTTCCGCCCAGCATCCTGGCGGGTAAAGCCATGGTAGGTGAGTGTCTCCTCCCAGATAGGCCCCCTTGTGCCCCGAACCGTACGGGTCCGCAGCTGGCTGGCCTGGGTGCCAGGTAGGGTGGATCAGGGCCTCCTCAGGCCCCAGGGCCCCATTCTGGCCCACTTCCCTGGTAGACCCCCCATTGTACTCCCCAGCAACAGGGAGCTCCATGCCTGATGTCCAGGCGTTGGCGGAGAGGGGCACGGCAGGACCAGGTGGGGGTTCCGGGCTGGGGCGCGGCCAAGGGGCATCAATAGGGGCCTGGGTGTCAGCCTCACCTTGCCGGCCCCTGGCAGTAGACTGGCCTTCACATAGGTGTCCACAGAGCCTGAGGCCGGTGGCTTGAGACCCTGAAAAGAGACGTTGAATGTGGGACAGGCCTGTGGCCCAGGCTCTTGGCCCACAGACCCCTGCCCCCATCCTCACCTTGGCACGGTGAGCCGTGCAGTGCAGGGCGCTGTTGTCCGCGTCAAAAAGAAGCGTGAACTCGAGGGTGCCCAGGGCAGCTAACGGCAGGTGGCAGGCAGGGTCAGCACCTACCTCGACCCCCGCCCTGCCGCCCAAATGGCACTATGTCTCCTGCCCTCCCCCTCCCCAGTCAGATGCTTGGGACGCTCCAAACTCTGCCCTGGCCAGGTTGGGCCAGGAGTATCCCCCCTCCCCGGTCCCCTGTCCCCACTCACTGCTGTCGTCTGAATCTCCCTCTGGCTCTGGGTCGGGCTCTGGCTGGGGTGTGGGGGTCACTGCAGAGTGTGGCTCTGGAGTGCGCAGGGTATGCTCAGCGAAGGGGTAGAAATGCGGGAAGTAGTCGGAAATGAGATGGATGGGCCGGATGGGGCCGGGGCTCACGTCGATGGCCATGTGCTCCTGCATGCTCACCCGCTGTGGCCGCCGCCGGCTCACCGCTGCAGTGCCTGCCATGGGGTCTTGGACATGGGGCCAGGGACTCAGAGAAGCCCCCACAGGCTGGGGACGGGGGGAACGTGGCGGGCCAAGGAGCCAGGGTGAAGAGGCATCCCTGAGGGCGCTGATGGGGGTCTTGGGTGGCAGCCAGGACCTGAGGACAGAGTGCGGAGTCACAGCGGGCGGGGTGGGGGAGGAGCAGGGGGCTCCAGCCCGAAGGAGGCCCGCGGCTACTCACCGCTCTGTGAGCTGCTCCTCCTGCTTTGGTTCCCTGAGTATAAGCCAGACTGAGGTGACCCTAGAGAGCAAGAACCTGAGCAAGGGGCCTCCCAGACCGGGTGACAGTGCCGGCCACTGAGGGGGAAGAGGCGGGGCTCCGAACCGGGCTCCAGGGCTCCAGAGTCTGGCACCTTCTCTAGTGCAGGGGCTCAGCCGCCCACCTCTCTCCCCCACCACTTCACACACTGTCATACCTATTTTTACCACCATCACGCGCCCTGCTCCCAGGTGAGGAGCCTGGAGGGCCAGAGATGACACAAGGGGTGCGAAGTGTGAGGGGCGATGGGAGGGGCCTGTGAAGGAAGGGGTGGGTGAGGCGGGAGGGACCCTGTGGGAGGGAGCACGTGGGGAGGTGCATAGGAGCAGATAGCGGTGTGGGGGACACTTTGGGAGTTGCAGAGGGGGCACATGGGAGGTGAAGTGACAGGGCTCCTGTGGAGTGGGGATGGGAGCCCGGGGAGGCGACTCGAGGAGGAGGGCGTCTGCCGTCTTGGCCTCTTGGCAGCTCAAGCTTTTTCAAACACAAATCACATCACTTCAACATCTATCTGCCCCTCTTCCAGCCTGGAACAGAGATCCTAACCCATCACTGGAGCCACCATGTGGCCCCGGAGTGGTGGGGCCCCTCCCCACCCCCACATTGCTAATCTTATTTCCTCAAACACCTTAAACTTTGTGTATGTGCTCCTCCTCCTACCCCAGCTTCCATCCTCTGCCTTTTGCTCTGGCCTGCTCTTGCCCACCTTTGGTTTCAAGGTCACTCTGCAGGGGAACTTGGCTGATTTTTACCTGCTCAACCTTCCCTTCTCTCTTCCCATTGGTCCTTTGGGGACTGCCCCCTTCCCCAGGCTCAGTCTAGAAGGTTCATTCTCCTTCCCAGTTCTCTCCCCGCTGACCCTGCCAACCAATAAATTCCAGCTACAGCGGGCCATGTGACAGGCTCAGGGAGGGCCAACGAAGTACAACTCTTGAGTTTAACACCAGAGAGAGAAGCTCTGTTTTCTGTTGATGGGATACTGGTGCTGTGCCATCCCAGAGCTGCAGAGTAGAGATTCTCCAAGAGTGAGGCCAACATAGTGGAAAGCACGGTAAGGGAAAGAGAGCCCCTGAACTCCTGGATCCAGCCATGCCTGAAGCTAGTATATCTTGAGTTTATCACCATTCCTCTTCTGCCAAAGTCAGCTAGTGGGTGGAGTTTTCTATCACTTGTCCAGGCTAATATTGCCCAGTCTACTGTGACAAGGACAGACTGCTTTCCACCTTTCTATTCTATATAATTGATGTATAATTCCACTATTGTCTGTGCTTAATTAATGTATAATCACATGATTATCTGTGGGACCTACTCTGAGGTCCTCCCCAGACTGGGTCACCCCAGAGGTCAGGGCAGCACAGAACCTGGTACACGGTAGGAGCTGGTCATGTTGGAACTTTGCAGTAACAAGCAGAGCTCCTCTTTGGATTCCTGTCGCCTGGCACGGGGTCAGCTAAACACAGAGGCAGGAGCTGGAACAATAATGTAGTGGCTGAGTATGGGCACTGGATTCAGCAGGGTTTGGCTCAAGTCCTAGCTTGGGGTGAACTTGGGCAAGGTGTCTCTTCTCCCTGAGCCCTGGTCTCACCAGCCAGGGCCAGCGTTGGCCCCACCTCAGGGCTGTGGTGACAGCCAAATACCAGTCCATAGTAAGCACCCACTGTTCAGTGGGTAACAGCGTGATGGGACAGAGGCACCCCACCCAGGAGGCCACTTGTCCCATGGGGTCTGCTCAAGGTCAAGGCCCCAGTGCAGAAGATGCGGCTGCCACAGAATTGGTAAAAGCTCTTTATTCAGTCCGGGAGTGGAGCTGGCCCGACAGACTGAAGGAGGGGGCTGCCCGGGGCCAGGCCTTCAGCCTAGGGGCCAGCCGAGCTGGCCAGGCGGGGCTGGTAGGCACCAGGGACCAGCAGCTGCAGGGTGAACTCAGTGATGACGGCCGTGAGCCCCCAGACACGGTGGGGCCCGTGCAGGAAGACAGGCAGTGTGTAGCTGAAGTGGCCACGCCGGCAGAAGTGGGTATACCCTTGGTTCTGCGCCTGCGACAGGTGGGCCAGGGGCAGGGCAAATACCTCATCCACCTGTGGGAAAGAGGCAGTCAGAGAGCGGACGGAGGACTGCTGCGGACGGAGCCTCCCCAGTTGGTCGGCCCCCACCATCGCCCCCACTCACCTCTTCTGGGTTGGGCCTGAGACTTTGGGGATCCAGGGGGCCCACGCCGGCAAGCACTGGCACCACTTTGGCCTTTTGCTGGGGCAGGAGGGTGACAGGCAGTCAAGGGAGGCATGGTCTTGGGGAGGGGAGCCTGAGGGGGACACCACCCCCTTGCCATCCAGAGCCCTTCAGCACTGGAGGCCCCTGTCCTTGAGCCCACCAGCCTGGGTGACTAACTGAGGGCCCTGAAACTCGCCAGAGCCATGCAGCCCTCTGGGCCTTTGCAGACGGTTCCCACCGCTTAGAATAACCTTTCCTGACTTTTACTCCCCTAAAATCTCCCACTCATCATCCAATTCCTGTCTGCCCTGTGAAGCCTTCCCCAACCCTTTTCCGCCAAGCTGGGCAGAGCTGGCTTACCCTGGGGCCACCTCCAGCCCCAGACCTGAGCCTCAGGATCCCCCGTGAAAAGGAGTGAAGATACCCCAGCCCTTCTCTGTTGGGTGGTGTGGGGATGGAACGTGACCACCGGGCAGATGTATGGGGCTCCACCATGCTGTCAGCCTGCCAGAGACCATAGCCACCCTCCTTGTCCCTGGTGGTGGCCTTACCCTGTCCTGCACAGGCCGCAGGATGCCCCACACATGCTCCTCAGGTACAGAAAGGCCCAGCTCCTCATGGGTCTCCCTTAGGGCTGTGTGCACCACATCCTGGTCAGTGGGGTCACATTTGCCACCTGGGAAGCTGACAAGCACAGGGAGCCTGGTCCTTGGTCTGTTGGGGCCATGGTGGGTGGGGGTGACAGCTGTGGCTGAGGGCTAGTCACCCACCTAAGCATCTTTAGTCTCTGCCTCTAGTTTGTAGTGAGGCCTCAGGCAAGCCACATGAGCTCTCCAGGCTCGGTCTACCTCCCTGAACGACAGAGGTAAGGGGGAGGCCCTGGAGCTCATGTTTGCCTATGGTGGCCCCAGTGGCTCTATGACCCCCAGGGACGGGGACGCGGACGGGACCAGGGCTGGAAACCAGGCAGCCCCCTCCGGCCAGCTTCTTCGGCTCCAGGACCCGAATCTCCCTTGAGTCTCCGGCAGGGGGCAGGGTCCTGCCTTTTTGGAGAGGCAGACACAGCTCCGAGAGGTGTCCCCAGCCCGAGGCGGTGCGGGACGCGCTTCGAGGGGTCCGGCGTGGCGACCGGGCAGGACCACCCGCGGCATCAGGCTCGGGTCGGAGGGACGCGGGGCCGCGGCTCTCCCCAGACCCGTTCCCCAGAGGCGGAAACCCAGGCTCGCAGAGGCGAAGCGCCTTGCTCAGGTGCCTCCGTCCTCCCAGAAGGGACAGGAGTTCCCAGCCGGTGTACCTGACGTCACCCTTGTGGCTCCCGGACAGGCGGCTGGACCGCAGCGTGTAGAGCAGCGCCGGGACCCCGCGCACCGAGCACAGCGGCACCAGCACCGCGGCCGCCGCGGGGCGAGCGCGGAGCCGGGCCGTGGCCCCCGCCAGCAACCGCCTGCAGCGCCCCTCGCCCTCCGCCGACAGGCAGTCGGGCTGCATGTCCGGTCCGGCGCAGCTGGGACAAGGAGGGCGCCGGGCCTCGGGAGGGAAGGGGAAGGACAGCACTCGTCCTCCGCCTCCCGGGGGAAGCTGGGCCGGACGGTGGGAGCAGCCCGGGAGCCGCTCCAGCCGGGCCCTTGGGGGCGGGGCCTACGTGAGAGGCGGTGCCTCGACGGAACGGGGCGGGGCCTGAAAGCCCCTCCCCCCCCGTTGGAGGGCGGGGCCGGAAGGGGCGAGTTCCGAGGATACGGCTTCCGGCAGAGGGGCGGGCCCGGGCCGGGGGCGGAGCTGGCGGTGGTGCCGGGGGAGTGTTTCCGCGGCTCGCGTCCGTCTTCCGCACCCGGCCCTTCTGACCGCGGGCTTCGGGAGTCGGGGTGTCAGGCTTCGAGGCTTTGCCGGGCCCCGCGTCCCTCCTGTGCCCGTCCCTTTCCTAAGGACCTAACGCAGAGTGTTCCAGGATGTTGGGAGTCAGCGTTTCGGGGGTCCACGGGGCGCTCCTCCTGGAGGCCGGGGACGTCAGGGACTGCGGCGGGAGCGCCCGGCCGGGTTCCCCTCGGGGCTCCTCTCCAGGCGACTCGCTCCAGCCGCAGGCCTTTGCCCCGCTTTTCCCGTCGCTGGGAACTTGTCTCCTCTCCTCCCCGCCCCTTTCCCTCGCAATTGCTACCCCTTTAGGTGTTGGCGGAAATGTCACCTTTCTGTGAAGCTGTCCTGCCTCAAGTCTTGGCTGGATTCTCAAGCCCCTCTCCCTCCCCCGCCCCCATCTTGGCCTGGCCCGTGCGGTCACGGCCTCTCATGTCTCCGCATCCCTCCAGACGCCCGCTTCTCAAGACCAGACCACCCCAGTCTTGGGCACAGCCCCGTTACGTGGAATGGCCTGTGTCACTGTGCCTTGCATTGATTTTGAGCAGGTGCCTCGTTGAGCTGCGGTTTCAGTCCTCACCTCGAGACACAAGTTAGGGACCAGAAAGTGCAGCCTCAGCCAGAGCCCTGGTGTCAGTTGGTATCAGCACCTTGGCCATCACTGTGCTTCCAGAGACACCATCCGCACTAGGCAGAGCTTTGGGGTGTCTGCAGCTCATTATCTGGGGTCCGGGTGTTCCTGAGTCCCTCCACCCCGAGCCCCGAGGACAGAAGTGCTCTGACTACTCGTGCCAAATAGTTTAATGTTGGGGGAAAGGGAGAGGTGAAGCAGGGCTTGGCCGAGTCACCCCTCAAGGCAGAAGGGGACAGGTTGAGGGGAGGAGGCGGCTGGTTCCAAGCCTGGCACCTTCTCAGCCTTGCTGCGATTCTGGGCAGGTAGCCTTCCTCTCTGGGCTTCCACCTGCCCTGCTCTCCTTGGAAGGGGACAGGGCCTCTGTAGAGGCAAGGCTGGAGGGGGTAACATTCGGGGCAAGACGAGTCCGTCCACAGGGCCCTCATCATCACTGAGGGTCCTGGACAGGCCCCAAGCACACGGCGGTGGGGGACAGGAGCTCCAACCTAGCTGGGAGGGGCAGGCCTTCCTGATCTCTGCCGGCCTGAATATTTGGGAGGGGATACGGTGTGGGTCGGGCCCTTGGGATTCTGAGGGGACTTGAGGCTCCAGGGTACAGGCCCTGGTAGTTGAGGGGCTGGTAGGTGGCTGGGGCCAGCAGAGTATCAGTGGGGGACAGCAGCTGATGGTGCACCTGGGCAGATGTCCTGGAGTTGGAGGCTGGAGCTTTGTTGGGGTCTGAGGGAGGATGTGGTCTGAGTGGACCCCAGACCTCCCCTTACATCCTCAGCCTCCCTTGTTCCTTCCCTGCTCCCATCCCACTCCTCCCTTTCTCAGCCTTTGCTCTTCCCTCTCCCTTCCCTGTTCCCTCTTCCCCACCCTTTCTAATTATCCAAATCCTTCCCAGTTCTTCAAGGCTCCTGCTCAGGAGCCACCTCCTCTAGGAAGCCCACCTGAACCTCCCACCCCTGCTCTTAGCACCTTGTCCCTGTCCTGTTCTCTCTGCCATTAGTCCTAACTTGTTCCAGAAATCTCTGCCTCCCGCTCTTTCTCCACACAGGTGCCCAGCGGGCTTGCTGAACCTGCCAGAGCCCCTTGTTGGAGGCCCTGTGGCCCTGTCACCTCACTTCCTGCCCACCATGCAGGCTCTGGTCCTCCTGGGGGCGAACCTTTTTCCTGCTCTGCAGGGCCCTTCAGCAGGCAGGGGCGGAGGCTGCTGTGACTCCGGGCCGCGATGCTGAGCAGGGCTCGTGGAGATACAGTCCTGAAGGTACAACAGGCAGGAATGGAGGCAGAAGTTCAAGGGGAGAGCCCAGGCCGAGGGCTGTGATCAATAAGACAGTAGGACCCCAGGATGAGTCAGTGGGCATGACCCTCAGAGAAGGTCTGAGGAGAGGCCTTAGGAGAGGCCTGGGGGATGAGGATGGGGGCGAGGGGCTGGGTGAGGGCAGGCGGGTGGAGCTGCCAGGGCCCAGACAGTACCAGGAGTCCGAGTCAGTCTCCCTAAAGCCCTTGGCAAAAGGGTTGCTGGCAATTTTCAGCTGGGTGATCTGCAGAGGAGAAAGTGTGGTTATGGGCCGGCCCTGAGCCAGGGAAAGGCTGCGGGGCCCCACGTTCAGCCACCCTGTCTTCCCTGGATGCCCCAATCATGAGGCCCTGGGACCTGGGCCTGTCAACCCGGGAGCCATAGAGCCAGTGGGCATGACAGCAGGGGAATGACTGAGGGCAGAGGTCTGCTGAGGCCTAGAGAAGGAGAGAAGGGCCGGGCCCAGGGCCGGGCCCTGTGAGCACGTGGGAGCTCAGAGCCTTGAGCCTCGGTCTCCCTCCCTGTGAAATGGGCTGGCAGCGGCCTTGTGAGCTGTGGCCCAACCCACCCGGTGGTTCTGATAGGCTGTCACGGCCATGAACTGGGTCTCCGTGAAGATGAAGGACTTGAAGTTCTCCTGGGCGTAGCGCTCACTGTCCTTGCGCGGGTCCACAAAGACCACGTGGAATCGGGGCTGGTAGCGGTGCATGGAGTTGAGAATGATCTGGGGGAGCGGTGCGGAAGGTGGTGTGCAGGGGAGAAGCTGCAAACCCTCCCTGAGGCTAAATCCTCTCCAGGGCGAGAAGACTGCCTTTCTTATAATGGGGGCACAGTCTGGTCTCCAGAGCCTATAGCTCTGTGGCAAAGGCCCCTTTGTGTCAGCATTTTTGCCCCTTTGCCTTCTGTCACAACCACATCCTTCTGTCAGCTTTCAGAAATATCCAGAATCTGACCACCTCTCCCAACCCACCGTCCCCACTCCGCCTGGCTACCATCATGTCTGCCTAGATTTCCTCCGCTGCCTCCTGGCCCATCTCCCAGCTTCTCTGTCCATTCCATGCACAGCAACCCCAGTGAGCTGCCCCATGTCACCCCGTTCAAAAGCCTCCTGTGCAGAGCAAAGGTCAGAACCCTCTCCACAGCCAGTGGGCTCCACAGATCAGCCCTGGCAGCCTCGGGGTCCCTCTCCTCCCATCTCTATTCACTCCACTTCAGACACATGGAGCCTCCTTGCACTCCCCTCCCACACACCCACTGGCCCAACATTCTGCAACCTCAGGGCCTTTTCACTTGCTGTTCGTCCCCTGCAACAGCTTCCACTTCTGTGTGCACAGGGGCCTTCCCCGTTTCCTTTAGATCTCTCTTCAAATATTGACTCAGCAGCTTCTAGAACCTCTCTGAATGGACAATTCACCTCTGTCTCAGTCCCCCTCCCTGGTTCCTTTTTCTTCTGGCATTCATCAGCATCTGAGACACTGCACACAGGGCCTTCTGGATTCTTTGTTTACCATCTGTCCCCTACCCCAGGAGGCAGGGATCTTTGTCTGTTTGACAAAATGGCAACAGTGCTGGGTTCCTGCACCTACCAGGGGCCTGGCCTGTGGTAGGAATTCCAGAAGTACTGTCTACAAGGAGGACAGTGTTTGCTGGAACATTCCCACACCTCCTGCCCCCTCACCTGCCTGCTTGGACAGTCCCCTCTGCTGTCCAGCCCCTGGCCAGGTGAACTTGGCCCCCAGCATTGGCCATCAGTAGCGGGTGGGGGTGCTGGGCACCAAGGCCACTGGGCATGGACGGCACGGCGAGCCCTGGTCCCGGACTTCATTATGATCAGACCCCAGCGTCCCCCGGCCCTGGCCTGACCCCTCCCCACTGCCTGGGGCCTCACGTGGCCGTTGTCATCCAGCAGGTTGTTGGTCAGCTTGAGCTTGTCGAAGGACACAATCTGGCGCATCCACTGCGTGCCCTTGGCCGGCGAGTCCGGGTGGAAGTGCACACGGCCGGGTGTGACCGGGTCCGCTTTCCCTGCCACCAGCCAGGCTGAGCTGTGAAAGGCGTACCTGGGGAGCAGAGCAGGTGGCAGGGGTGCCCCACCTGGACCCCCACCTGGACCCCCACCTGGAGCCGGGGCCGGCGGGGCATGGGGCCATCCCTCAACATGACTGCCTGTGCACCAGCCCCACCTCGCACGTGAGGAACGTGAGGCCTCGAGTGAGGCCTTGAGTCCCCCGTGGTCGCGCTGAGCCGGCCCGCTCTGCCTGCCTGGGCCGGCCCGCTCTCCCACCTGAGACTCTCGGCTGCCCTGAGCTCGGCTCCCCTGCTGCCATCAGGCTTCCATTGTTGCCCGAGGACAGGCCTGCCTGACGCTGCTCCGAAGGGCCCCCGGCTCACCCCAGAGTGCGGGGAGGGGTCTGCTTCCTGGCTCAGCCCCTGCTATCTGAGCTCCCTCCCTGGGCAGCCCCCAGACCTGTATCTTTTGTCATCCAGAGGCACGAAGTCCATGAGCAAGGCATAGTCAGCCAACGTGTCCATGCCCAGGATCTTCACCTGGAAGGTGGGAAACATCCGCCTGCAGGGGAGAGGTGCTCAGGAGCCCAAATGTAGCACCGGCATGACCCCTGTCCCCACCACACACACACGCACACGTCCGCTGCTCACACCTGCCTGCCTTGGTGACAATCATCTCTGTGCCCAGCTGGTTGAATTCCTCCCACAGAGCCTTCATCTCCAGCTGAACTGTCACGCTGGACACACGTGGGTTCTTGGGTCCCTGCTTGCTGGGCTCGGCCACGACTTGGGTCCCTGCAGAGCCGGTCGAAGGGCCCGACGGGAATGGGGAGTCCAGCCGGGGCTCCCAGCTGGAGCTGGTCATGGGCAGGGTGTAGGGCTCTGAGGACGCAAGTACCCCGAGGCCAGCAGAAAGGAAAGCTGGGGAGAGAGGATGAGAGTGTGGGCCGCTGTTTGCCTCACCCCCTTGCCACCAAGCCAGCTCTCATCCTTCAGGCCGCACGTAGGTGCCTCTTCCTCCAGGAAGCCCTCCCTGACTGCCAGGCCTGCGTTCCCCTAGTACCCCTGACTGAGCATCCCTTCGTGAGGTAAATGCAGACTTAAAGCTCCTGGAGGCCAGAGACGGGGCCTGTCTGGTTCCCCAGGGAATCTCTGAGCCATCAAGTGGACTCATGGCTATGAGCAAATTGTTTCATGCCCTCCCCAACCCCAGACCCTCAGTTTCCATATCTGTCGCGAGGGGTTCTTAATATCTGCCTCATAGGGTCCATGGATTACAGAGCCTGGCATACACCAGACCCTTCAACAAGGCCTCCTCACTTTCCCCCTAAAGTTCCAGTTTTTGATGTACAATCCTGGCTCAAGCCTTGGCCACAAGTTTTGTTGTCTTCTAGTCTTAAAAAAAAAAAAAAAAAAAAAAATTCCAGCTACAGTGAGATACGACTTTACAGCCACACGGAGGGCTATTCCCAAACACAAAACAAAAGCCAAGAAGAAAGCGAAAACAAGCTGCTGGGATCAGAGACGATGTGAGAAGTGGGAGCCCGGGTGCATGGCCGGCGGGATGGGAAACGACACGGCTGCTGGAGAGTGGAACGACCACACGATCCAGCAACTCCACTTCTGGGCATTTGCCGAGACGTGGAGAATTGCACAAAAGGAACTGGGGGTGGGGGGCGGGGACCTGACAGATTCGTGCACATCTGTGTCCACAGCAGCCTTGTCCCCAATAGCCTGAAGGAGAGAGCACCCTGAATGGCCACGAGTGAGCGAGCAAACTGTGGTCTGGACAGACGATGGACCATTATTCCCCCTTAAAGAGGAAGGACATCCTGCCGTGTGCTGTGACACGGAGGGACTTTGGGGACGTTATGCTAAGTGAAACAAGCCAGACACAAAAGGACAAATCCTGTGTGATTCCATGAATGGTCCGATTCACAGGGAGGAGAATGGTGGTTGTGGGGGGGGGGGCGGGGGCGGCGCAGAGGGAGTGGGAACAGGGAGTGAGCGTTTAGTGCGGACAGAGTTTCAGTTGTGCGAGATGTCAGACTTCTAGAGACGGATGGTGGGGATGCAAACACAGCAGTGTGGGCGTCCCTCGTGCCCCTGAGCTGTGCACTTAAAAGTGGCTAAAAAGGAAATTTTTATGTTATGTATATTTTACCACAATTTAAAAATTAAAACCAGGGAGGGAAAAAAAAATCCTGGAACACAGACTATTCGTTTCTAACCTCCCCCGGAGGGACCAAGAGCCTGGTAAAACTGAGATTCCCCGGGGGCAGAGGTGGATTTCGGTGTCGGATGGATGGACAGACAGACAGATGGGTGGAGGGAGATTCCGGGGTGGGGGTGGTGTACGTGAGATGAGCCAGCAGGTGGGCAGCGCGTGGTCGGAGCTGGCTTACAACAGGTACCTCATCTCGGTGTGGGGCTCAGGGTCTGTGACCCCGTATTTAGCAGCCCTGAGGGGTCGCATAGGAAAAGTGGTCCCTCATCAAAGCCCCTGGAAGTTCTGCAGCCTGGGAGTGGGGGTTTTCTCTGAGAGGGAGGGGGCACATCAGCTCTGTGTCCCCCAGAGGGGCAGGACGGCTATACGGGCTGATGTCCCCCAGCACTGGGACCGGGCCGTCAGATGGGCAATGGTCCATTGCTCAGAGCCCCTGCGGGGGCAGGTCCATCATCCAGGTAACCGGTACCCCTGGATCTATGGTGCTGGGCCCCCAAGGGAGAGGCTCAGGGCTTCCCTGGGTCTGGGAACTTTGCGGGCTGGTTGCTGGGTCCCAAGTCTTCAATGAGCCCATCCCCTGCCCACCTCGGTCAGCGGGCCACCCCCGAGGGCTCTCAGGAACTCGGGAGGGGCCTGTTTTCTGCCTGGTTCCTCTAGAAGTAGGCATCCCTTGGGGTCGGGATTTGACAATTTCCCACAAGCACGGAGTCAGGTCTGGAGGGGAGGTTAAAGCCTTCTTGCCCAGTTCCTCCCCATGCCCCAATGTTGATACTCAATGAGTGAGGCCCAGAGAGGAGAGCGGACAGGTCCAAGGTCACCCATGCCTGAAAAGGCTTTCTGTTCCCAGAAATGACTCATTATCCCTACCCAGCAACACCCCCATATTTGTACCTACAAATATGAGCCCATCAGCCCTGCCCTGGTGGGATCTGAGGCCTCAGTGTGAAGTGCCCCCACCCCACCCTCTGGCCCAGGACCTGGGTCCAGCAGGGGTTTCCTTGGTCCCCATACCCAGTCCCTGCCCTGCCCCATTCACCCCGGAGCCTGAGCCCAGCCATGGGGCCATTTCGGCTGCCTACACCGTACCTGCCATGGGGACGGCCTGGACGTTGGCTCCTGGAGGAGCCCTGTTCAGTGGGGGGCCGGCTGCAGCTGCCACCTGGGGGCCCCCTGCCTGCTGGGAGGGTGGTCAGCCTCTCAGGATCTCCTGGCCCACTCAGCGGCACGGCTCCGGCTCCGTTCTGCAGGACTGCCCTTCCCTCCGAGCAATCTTACTTCTCCACCGGCGCCAGGCACCTGGTCTCTGCAGGTGGGACCCTGGTTCTGGTGGGGAGGCAGGGCCCCTTCTCCAAGCCGCGCTCAGGCTGGACTGCGCAAGGCTGATGGCTGGGCTTGTCCGGCTCCGGGTGTGGCGCTGTGTGGGAGGAGGGCAGGTGGGAAGGCTCTGACGTTGCAAAGCCTCCTCTCCCCCTACCGGCCCCCTCTCCCAGCTCCCTCCCTTCCCCAGCTAGGAGACCCCCAGCTGTTCCTGATCAATGGACCCAGATGCTAGGTGGGGGCCCCATCTTGAGGACCTGTTGGGTGGTCTGCAGGGGCCCAGGCCCAGTGACTGGAGGAGCTCAGAGCCCACAGGGCCTGGGGGAGGCTGGGGAGGCCGCAGGAGCCACAGGAATATGAGGGCTGGATGGCAGAAGTGTTGCCCTCTCGCCGGGACCCCGACCCCTGACCTGGGGCTGCTGGTGCGGTGTGGCCTGGGCAACTGGGGCAGGAGACACAAGGGGTCAGCGTCAGCCAGTGACAGCAGAGCCCCTGGCCTGGGTGGCAGGAAGCTGGGTCTTGCTGATGAGCTGTGCAATGCTGGTGGCACAGGTCCCTGTGCCTCAGTTTCCCCAACTGTAGTAAGCATGTAATCTCATCCCTGGGATAGACAGCAGTAAGCCGTTCCTGTCCTGATTGATGGGGCCTCCGGCATCCCCACAGGGCGGGAGCCTGGCTCGGGGCAGAGGTCACGGCTCTGTCTGTTCTCTCCAGCCTGACTAGGCATCCTCTCCAGGCTGTCCCTGTCTGTCCTGGCTAGCCATTTGGGGACGCATAGATCACCAGTCAGGAAGGCACAGCGGGGTGGGGGGCACCCCAAAACTGGTTGCTGTCAATGGAGAGTGTGGTTTGGCCATTTCGTCACTACCGCATGGCCCAGGGAGGATTACTGGGCTGGACCCCAAGCTAGCCCACCCTGGGAGGGGGTATTGAGCCCCCAGGCTAGCGCTAGGTGACAGCACCTCAGGCTGTGCTGGGCATACTGGACTGGGGTCCCGAAGGCAGGCGAGACCACCCTTCCCCAACACACCACCGCTTCTGGGGACGTGGGGTACGCAGAAGCCCATACCTGAGAGTGACCGTGTTGGAACTGAGGAGTGGAGGGGCCACTTCTCTTCCAGGGGGACACCCCGGCTCCTCCCAGAGCCCCATGTCGGGGGGCCACCTCTCCTCCGTTTAGCTTAGGGATGCCGCCTGCTGTGGCCTCCTATCCCCCTGGCTCCTGCCGGCCGAGCTGGGAGAGGCAGGAGGACCCCTGGCACAGACCCGTGTCAGCCTTTGCACTTTCCTGTGGGGCAAGATAGGGGGCTTCTCTGTGCTTGTGAGGGTCCCAACGGCTCTCAGGGGCCACCCAGTGGGGTGTGGCCAGCAGGGCCACACTGTCCCAGGATCCATGGTGGTCCTGGGAGATTCCCACCAGTCCTGGTGGCTCCCCCTCTGCCTGGAGTCCCAGGAGCAGGCCAGCCTAGTCCTCTGCTGGGTACTGATGTGTGTGTGTGTGTGTGTGCCCTCAGCTTCGGTCTGTGTGATGGGAAACACCCCCCCACACGTCTGTGCTCACACTGACACGCCAACCCACACACACACAGATGAACTCAAGCCCCAACGCCCCGTAACCGCTCTTGAGCACACATGCACACGCTCCCATGTGCGTGCACACACGTCTCTCTGACACGCGCGCTGTGCACAGGCGTGCACACTCTGCATAACCGCCTCCCCGGCTGGCCTGCCCTTCCTGCCCGAGGCGCCTGCTGGCCTCCCTGCCCCTCTCATCCATCTTGCCTGCCAGCCCGTCCCTCATGCCCCCATATCCTTCACACCTTCTCATCTCGCTGCTCGATAGCAGGAGGCCGCGTGGCAGCTGTGGCCGCGGGCAGATGGATGGGCCAGGCGGGGGATGCTGTGGGGCCGGGGTGTGACACCACCTGTGGTCGGAGCGCCGGGCACCCCAGATGCCCTGTCGGGCTCGGGTGGGCATGGCTGTCAGGCTGTATCCAGTTTGGCCTGCAGAGGTGCCCCAGAGTGCCCAGCTCAGGACCGAGGGGACCCCAGCAGCAGACCCGGTGCCCCCTCCCTCCTCGGGTGCTGAGGACTTCCATCCAGCCTCCCTGGTAGGATTTCCCCTACCCCAAGTCAAGTTACCTCTTCTCCCATCCCTGCGCCTGGGCAGGCTGTCCTGGGCGGGGAAAGCCTTGTTGGGCTCCACCCTCTCCCCAGCCCAACTCCTCATGAACCCCCACGGGCACTGGGCCCATTACACATTGGAAACACATATTAGGGCTCTGTGCCCAGCCACATATAGAACCCCTGGAAGGACGCCCTAGGGACTTTGGTCTTGGAAACACATGTGTGTGCAGTCACACACATACATACAACACCTGGGCAGGCACACGTGGTCACCCACACACGTGTGCGCTTACACGGGCACGAGCTTCTGCTCTCTCAGACTGACTCCCTGGCCCACGGAGTACAGGCAGGTTGGGGGGGACCCATCTGTTGTCTCCAGGACAGTTTTTCTCCAAGTGGGAGAATCAGTCGTCCTGGGCACTGATAAGCCATCGTGGGTACAGAGACAGCCACCACTGGCCCCGGGACACACAGCGTGTCTAAGACCACGCTGGGCCAGACCTGCCCCAGATTGTGAGGTCACAGAGGGACCATGCAGGATAGAGGATGTGAACCATTAATCCATGGACATCTTCCATTTTATAGATGGGAAACTGAGGCACGGAGGTATGAGGTATGGCAATAAACAGGGTATACAGCAGACGGCAAAGGGGGGCCCTGGGCTCAGGACTGTGGCTCAGGAACCACTGTTTGGATGGGAGGACTGAGGCTGGGCAGATTTGGTGTGGGTTAGGGACCTGGAGTGGGGTGGCAGGGCAGGGACAGAGAATGTGAGCTTGGCAGTCTGGAGGGAGGCAATGTCCTTCTCATAGTATGCGGCCTCCTGATGAACACGGGGTACCTAGTGGACCCCCCCTCATAGCGCACAACCTCATCACTGAACATCTGGAAGATGGCCATACCAAGCGGCTGTGGCTGGAAGTCTCGGTCATGGGAAGAGAGCTGAGGGCCAAGGTCGCTGGGGCCAACCTCTGCCCTGGCTCCTGTGTTTAGAAATGGAGACTCAAGTCACCTTAGAAAGACAGTTATCATTGTGGAAGTGCAGCCTAGTGGTTAAGGGCATTGATAGTAAAGCCTGGGTTCGAATCCTTGCGAGCTGTGTGACCTCGAGCAAGTCACTTAACCCCTCTGGTCCTAAGCTTCCATGACTGTAAAATAGGAACTATAATATCTTCTCCTATCATCCTGAGGTTTAAATTAAACAGTTAATAGTCCTTAAAACAGTGTCTGACACACAGTAAATATAATATAAAAGTTTATCAAATTTTTTAATTGTGAGAGAAATCAGGGGCGCCTGGGCGGGGCAGTTGGTTGAGCAACCAACTCTTGGTTTTCTGCTCAAGTCACGATCGAAGGGTTGTGAGATTGAGCCCCGCTTGGGGCTCTTCATTCAGTATGGGATCTGCTTGAGTTTCTCTCCCTCTCCCGCTCCCTCTGCCCCTCCCACTCATGCTGTCTCTCGCTCTTTCTCTCAAATAAATAAATAAATAATAATTAAAAAAAAGAAAAGAAAAAAATGTGGAGGAAATCACAAGCTCTAAGAAGAGAAAAAAAAAAATCCAGCCAAGTTCTTTGGTTACTTTGGTTCTTTAAACAATTTTTGAAATGTCAAAGTCTTTTCAATGTATCTTTGCCTTTTGCGGGGTCACTCCCAGGCTGGGCCATTCCCATGGGAGGGAGCCCACTGGGGGGTGGGAAGCCGGACCCCGCCTGGCTGTCCCTTCTGCAGGGACGGACAGGGCTGATGAAGGAAGGAGGTCGTTTGGTCATCTCTCTTACGGACGGGGTCCCCACCCGAGTTCCATCGGCAGGAGAGGACCCCGTGGGCCACAAGGACTTGTCTTAGAAGGAGGGGGCTGTGGCAGCTCCCTGGGCTCAGAGGCAGATCTCTGCGATGGGTAGGGGAGGGCTGAGCCACCAGAGCGTGTGGACCCCTCGGAGGCCTCTCCCACCTCTGAAGGTCGGTTGGGAGTCATGGGGATCCGTCACTAAGGAGGCTAGGGCTGGGCACCCGGCGTGGGCAGCCCTGCGGCGTGGACACTGCAGGACACAAGGGCCACGGAGGACATGCACCTTGTTCGATAGCGACACCACGTGGCAGCAGGCAGAGCAGCAGCGGGTGGGCTGCCCATACTCCTAGATCTCCCTGCCGGATGTAGAAGCAGGATTCCTGCCACATTCTGGAAGGGGAGGCCTGCCGACGGCCTCGCTGGATTCCCTAACGTGCAGAGGGATGCTCTAGGAATTAACTGGAGAACAGAGAGAGGGTTCCATGTTTGCGCCTCCAAGCAGGTGAATTAGGGGGTGGCCGCTCCATGTCCAGGAAGCCTTCCTTGGCTACCTGTGGCCACATTAGATGCTTCATGTTGCCCGCACCCCTCCATTTAGCCTCCTGCGTTGTGGTTGCCGGGTTCTTCCTCTGTCTCCCCCAGGAGGTTGGGGACAGCACCTCGGTCTTATTCCCCATTTTTTCACCAGAGCAGGACAAAGCCGGCTCAGAGGTGGGGCTCAGCGAGTATCTACCAGAGGAAGGTGTGAACAGCGGTTAGGGAGCGAGACAGGCAAACAGAACCTGCGCGGCTGAGCTGAGGTGAACCTTGGGTCTGGGGAACTCAGGACCAGCCTGAGGTCAGAACGGGCTTCCTGGAAAGGTGACATCAGTCTGGATTTTTCTGAACTGGACAGGAAAGAATCAGTATCTCGGCAGGGGGTGTGACCTGCTGGTGGCTGAAGAGGACAGTCTGAGGCGGGGACTTCAGTCCCAGGCAGGGCTGCCCCACGGCAAGGGCACTCCAGGTGAAGAAGGTGCTGGTGAAGGTGGGGCTGAGATCACAGCGTGTGGGGTGGGGGCAGGCCAGCGGGGCCACTGTCCCTTATGTCACCTGGTAAAGAAAAGGCACCTGTGGGACTGGGGGTTGGAGCAGCAAGCCCACCTTGAGAAGGCAAAACTACTGGGAAAGCAGATGATAGCTCTGGGCATCTCCCAAGCAGGGCTTGGTTTGAGTTAGATGTGTCTGTGCATCTGGAAGGTAAGAGCCAACAGAAAGGGACAATGCCCCAAGGGTTTTGGTCTCAGCTTTGGAAGACGGCAGAAACGCAGAGCCCCCGGAGAGCCCCTGGCTCCCCCAGGTAGAGCCTCCCTCCCACGCAGCCGCCCCCAGCAGCCAGCAGGCGGAGCTCAAAGCGGTCAGGCCGGTGATGACTCAGGAGCGGTGGCCTTTCACCGACAGTGGCTTATTCAAAAGGGATTAACCTCAAGGCTCTGACCAAGGGAAGTGGAGGCTGGGAGGAAGATCAGGAATAAAGCTTTTCGGGGGCAGGACATGTGGAAAGGCATCTGTGTTCACCTGCAGGAACCTGAGGCCGCCCTCTCCGGTTTTCTAACTTGGTGCATAAGGCACAAGCGCTCGCAGTTAGGAAGTCGATGCCCCGGCTCGCAGGGGAGCCCTAGCCCTGGACGGGGGGGCTGGCTGGGCAGATCGGGGGCACAGGGAGAGCGGGCACCACAATGCCCCCACAGCACGGCATGTTGTCCAGGATGCCTGACTGCCCTTGACCTACAGTGACCTGGTGCTCTAAACACCCAAGACAGTTGCCAGAAATCCGGGGCCATCCACCAGAGTTCCCCGCCACAGAGCGGCCGACTGATTGGGCCCAGCAGATCCCAACCTCTACATATGCCACCGTGCGGGGCCCGACCCAAGCCATCCCTCGTCGCCGCGCAGACCAGGGAACTAGGGGATATGATCACCATGTACAGACGGCCTCATCGGCTAACCGGTCAGTGGGGGCCGCGTGTCAGAGGTCACAGTTTGCCAGACCATAAAGCGTGACGCCAGATGGAGGTGTTGTCCCCCCTCACCCGCAAGCAGCTGGGTTGAGTATTAAAGCAGCAAATTCAATTAAAAAAAATTTTTTTAAAGGCTTAGCAGCTTCTTAAGATTTATGTATTTATTTTACAGACAGAGAGAGAGAGAAAGAGAGCACAAGTGGGGGGAGCAGCAGAGGGAGAGGGAGAAGCAGGCTCCCCGCTGAGCAGGGAGCCCAACTCAGGACTCGATCCCAGGACCCTGGGATCATGACCTGAGCCGAAGGCAGAGGCTCAACAGACTGAGTCACCCAGATGCCCCTCAATTTTTTTTTTTAAAGATTCATGCACTTTACTGAGTGTTATGCCTCAATAAAAGTTAACAGTGATGCTTAATAATAAGGATGACAGTGAGTGCTTGGGTTCTGGGCAGGATCTCCTTAGACCCTGACCCCGTCGCCTCGTAATGACTCGTTCACAGGACCCCTAAGGCACAGGGGGAGCTTTTTTGCAAAGGACTGGAAATAGGAACACAAGGCTTGCAGAGAAAGGGTCAGGGACTGGCACTCAGCACTGGCCTAAATCAGCCCACGTGCAAACACTGTGTCCCCAGGGTGTCTGGGGGGCAGAGGGCACTGCCCAGTGCCTCATGGACAAAGGTGTGGACAGATGTACCTCCGGCCCAAAGTGGGGGGCAGCGGCTCCCTTAAAGCAGCAAATTAAATTATTAACAGGTGAAAACCCCCTCGGCTGGGTGAACCAAAGTACCGTCCCAGGTTCTGATGCAGTTAAATAATCAACGAGCAGGGCCTGTCGCCCCATATGCCAGACTGGGGACTCCTGATGAGGCACCCAATATCGTGAAGGTATAGAAATGAGGCACCCAATATCCCGACTCTCACTGAAGATCTACATGCCCTGCTGCTGAGAAAAGCCCGCCCCCCGCGCACGGAAGAGGCATTATCTACCGGAATTTACAGTGGGTGAGTTAGTTCACACCCTGGGTGAGAGGGAACACTCAGTCTCCATCGGGATCCCGTCGTCCTGCTGCAAGCCGGACCGGCGGAATGCACGCCACTGAGAAAGGGGAGAAGGGGGGCGCCTGGGTGGCTCAGTGGGTTAAAGCCTCTGCCCTCAGCTCAGGTCATGATCCCAGGGTCCTGGGATGGAGCCCTCTCTGCTCAGCAGGGAGCTGCTTCCCCCTTCCTCTCCGCCTGCCTCTCTGCCTACTTGTGATCTCTGTCTGTCAAACAAATAAAATCTTTTTAAAAAGGGGGGGGGAGAAGGTGGGGTCCTGGTCTCGCACAGCCGCCCCCCCAGTCCCTCCCCCATGCCTGACGGAGCTGCCTCCCCCAGCAGCAGGTATGGAACGCACAACCAGGTCAAATTTCTAAAGCTGCCAACCTCCCTCTCCTCTGGGCCCGTGGACACATTCTGTTTTCCACTAGTCCGATCATTTGGCTTCTGTCTCTGTTCCCTTCATTGATTTAGAGGACATTGTAGCACACATGGAAACCTCTACCAAATTCAATCAGCAAGCCCTGTGATAACCAATAAAGCCTGTCCTTCCTTGACATGTCTCTGCTGAGAAGAGCTACCCTCTGAAATAAAATGGCCTTAGACCTTAGGACTGTCTTCTAAGGAGCACCTGTGCCATTACCCAGATAGAATATCGTGTGTTCATACCTCTCAACAAGTCCCTGTTAAGTACCTTCTTTGAGAAAGAGTAGGGGAGGTTGGACGTGGGCTCTCAGGGCGAGGACTAGGGAAAGAGCAGTGGACTAGATCTGTTCTGCTAACTGATTCCCCCCACCTCCCTATTTCTCAGAAAACCCCCTCACCATTCAGCTTTGCTCTGCTTTCCTGTATAAACTCAGTTCAACCCTGTCCTGTCTCTAGATTTCAGTTTCCCCATATGTCAGAGAAAGTGGCTAGATTTAAACTCTGCCCACCACGACCTCCTTCTGGAAGTGCACAGCAGGATGACAGACGCGTCCAAAATGGGCACGACCCCATCCTGTGCCCCTAGCAGACATGACTAATCAAACTTTGCACTCTCTCCTATTGATTCCAAGCACCCAGAGCGTCGGAGTCCTTGCCAGGGACACACACACGTCAGGGTGACATCAGCCATTAGTCAGATCTGGACTCAAGATCGGATCACTTCAGGTCACACAAACCAGCTCCCCAAACCAGGTGTGAATGGAGCTGTTAGAAATTGCTCTGTATTTTGGGGGTCCTCCTGGCAATAGCCCAGGTTGGGGAGTTGGAGGTGGCCATGGCAGCAGGTTTTGGCCCAAGGCTGACCTGAGGACCCCTCCCCAGCAGCCCCAAACCATGGGCTGCCTCCCCACCATGGCTCCCCATCCCCTCCCTTTCTATTAAAAAAAGAAAAGACATGGCTCTGTATTCTGGGAACCCAATTATAGATCTGATACAAAGGTGTCCTTTGTAAACACAAACATATCCGTATTACAGATATCGATATATCTGTAAATACACAGACATATCCAAGCAGAGGGTCAGGTCAATGAGTCTGTCAGGGGGGTTTCAGATGGGACTTGGCCCTGAAAATGGTGGGTCCTGTGGCCCCGACGTCCTGCCCAGCCAGGGGTCTGTTGAGACAAAACCCTAAGAATGGGATCCCTGCACTCCGGGACGGGACCCCCACCTTTCAGGGACCACTGAACACCTGGGCAGTAGCAGGACAGAGGGGTGGCCCACGGGGAGCTCACAGAAGGGTGCAGCTGTGGGAGCCTAAGGCCCAGCCTATCAGCTGCTGCCTGAGGTTGGTGTAGGGTGGATAGCGGAATTCATGGAGCTTTTCCAGGCCGGAGGGGGAGAGCAGACTGGCGCGGTGGTGGGAGAAGGTGTCGAAGGAGAACTTGCCATGGTATCTTCCCATGCCACTGTTACCTGCATGGGCACAGAGGTGAGGGCCTGAGGCTGGCAGCCCAGCCAGCCTTAGCAGCAGCCCCCTCCCCAAGCGGGAGCCCACAGCTGGCACGGCGCTCAGGGCAAGTCAAGCCACTCCAAGAGCTATTTTGCAGATAGGGAAACTGAGCCCTTGAGAGTCCCAGGGCCTGGATCAAGGTAGAACAGAAAGTGAAGGCAAAACCGGGCCCTCCCAGGTTGGGCGTTCCAACCTGGTCTTCCCGGGGTGGGGTGGTGGGGGCGGGCTGGGAGCGGACGAGGGCAGGGCTCACCGACGCCCCCCAGCGGCAGGGAAGGCAGAGACATGTGAGCGAAACCTTGGTTGCCTCTGAAAATGCCGCTGCTGGTCCGATCCAGCATCTGGGTCACTACCTGGGGGTAGATGGGAGAGGCCCAGTAGTGGGCTCGTCATCAGGAAAGAGGACTTGAGTCCCCCACCATTCCACGGGGAGCAGAGAGTCTCCCATGTTCCCATCTTCTACTGAGATGTCTCCCTCGAAAGCTTTGCTCTGCCCCCTCTCCTCTGCAGGGCCTCTACTGGCCCATTCAGAGCCTTTGCATGGTTTAGGAAGACGGGGCTCTCTGGGTAGAAAAAGGCACCTCTTCTCTTGGTGGAAGCTGCCGGAGCCAGGGCAGACAGCTGGCCAGCCACACATCTGACAGTCTGTGGTCTTGCCCAAGCCCCCTCTGCCAGGAGTCCTTGTGCAGGCAACCTCTGTCCGGGATATGTTGCCCCTAACCCTCCCACCATGGGCTATCAAGGGGAAGGTCGCCTGTCTGCACCTTTTTCAGCCCCTCCCTTGTCCCAGCCCTGCCCGAGCCCCCCACCTGCTTGCTGTTGGAGAAGGCATACAGGGCCAGGGGCTTCTCCCCATGGTTGATGAAGTCGATGGCCTCGTCCAGGCTCCTCACGTTCATGATGGGCAGGATGGGGCCGAAGATCTCCTCCTGCATCACCGGCTCCGTCTCCTGCACGTCCACCAGCACCGTGGGGGCTGCGGGCACAAGGGACCCCTCAGCGCTGGGGCGGGACGGGGATGGGCCACGGGCGGGGCTCAGGGCCTTCTGGGGAAGAGAGCGTCCCCGCGGCCCCCAGGAAGGACGGCGAGGGGTTGTCCAGCCCGGGCGGGGGCCGAGGTGGAGCAGAGGTCGGGGAGGCAGGCGTCCAGGCTGGCCTAGATCGCGCGGCCCTGGGAGCCTCGAGACGGGGCGGGGCGACGAGGGGTCGGGGCGGGGCTACTGGGTGTGGAGGGCGGGGCCCGGGCTCGCGGCCCAGGCTCGCGGCCCACGTGGGACCCGCGTCCTGGAAGGGCCCCAGCCCGGCGACCGCGCGGCGACAGGGCGGGCTCACCGATGTAGCGCTCGCTGTCGTCTGTCGTCGCTCTGGCCGCCGATGGCCACGCGGCCGCAGCCCAGCAGGCCCCGGAACCTCTGGAAGTGCTTGTCGCTGATGATGCGGCCCAGGCTCGGGGAGCTCTGGGGGTCGTCGCCGTAGAAGCGGGTGATGGCGCTCTGCAGGGCGGGCAGCAGCCGCTCCTGCGTGTCCGGGCTGCACAGGACGTAGTCGGGGGCCACGCAGGTCTGGCCGCTGTTGAAGTGGCGGAAAAAGGCCACGCGGTTGGCCACGGTCTGGGGGTCGCAGTCGTCGTCCACGTAGCAGGGGTTCTTGCCCCCCAGCTCCAGCGTGACGGGCGTCAGGTGCTTGGCGGCGGCAGCCGTGACGATCCTGCCCACACGGGGGCTCCCTGGGGATATGGGAGTTGACCGCCCCCCATGCTCAGCCGGCCTTGGTTAGATGGTCCAGGCACCACTTCTTCTGGCCGATTGTACCTTGTCTGCTGGGATCTGCCCCGGGCCCTGCTGCCCCAGCGTTCCACCCTCTAAGGCCCAGGGGCTGATTGCCATCTGGGATGCTCGCCGCTGCTGGCCACAACCTCATCCTTCCACAGCCTTCTCTCCCCACCCCACCCCAACCAGGACTCTGGTTGAGGCCACTCTCACCAGTGAAGAAGATGTGGTCGAACTTGTGCTCCAGCAGCTGCCCGGTCTCCTGGGGCCCTCCCAGCACCACGGCAAAGCAGCTCTGCCAAGGCAGGGCAGGTGGTTCAAGGCTCTGGGGACAGCTGGCCCTCCGGAGCTGACAGGGATAGGGGTGTGCGACCCCGGGGGCTGATGGGGTGGGGCCATCCTCACCTGGTCCAGGTATCGAGGCAGGACCTCAGCCAGGACCTTCTCTGTGCCCTTACTTAATTCTGATCGCTTCAGCACCATGCAGTTGCCTTCAGGGACAGATGGGGACGTCGTGGGGAAAGGTCAGTGCCCCACACCCACCCAGGGCAGAGACGCAAGGAATATGCCAGAGGCAGGGGGTACCACATAAATGGAATTCTGGGGGCCTCCTTTGGGAAGGGCTTCTGGGCGGGCTCCCCACCTGCAGCGAGGGCGCCCACTAGCGGCACCAGGGTCAGGTGCACCGGGTAGTTCCAGGGGGCGATGATGAGCACCAGGCCCAAGCGCTCCTTCCGGATGAAGGCTGAGTCCAGCGACAAGACCTTTGGTTCAGGACACGTAGTAAGGCGCGACCGTGGATCACCCCAAAGCCGCCCCCCAGAGTCTTTGAGGGGCCTGTGGAGTGGAGTCCTCATGAGGAGACCGAGGAAGTTAGAGGCTGGGGGCGGGGGTGTTGGGTGGTGAAGAGGCCTGGGCTGGAGCCCTGCCACCCAACCCCCACCCGCACCCGCTGCGGGCAGCGGCTCACCAGGCTCTTGGCCACGTACTCCTCCTTCATCCAGGTGTGTAGCTTCTGGAGCGCCAGGTCGACCTCGTTCTGGCATATGATGAACTCGGATACGTCTGCGTCAAAGACTGACTGCAGTGGAGAGAGAATTCAGGGGTCAGGTCTGAGGCCGGGCAGGGAGGGGACCTAGTGCTTGGGATCCCCAAGAGTTCCAACCCTGAGGTCATGGAGAGAGCCTCCAGAGGCCACACAGTGAGCACAGCGAGCGGTGAGGAGCACGGGGCCCCAGGGTAGGTGGCCCGAGCTCCAACGCCTTAACCCCCATGCACCTCAGTTTCCCCCTCAGTAACATGGGAGCCGTGGTTCACGGGTTTGGATGACTTAACGCTGTCACACATTGTTTGCCAGGAAAATGTCTGTGAAATAAACAGGAATGAACTGGGGGTACAACTAGTCCCCCCCTCCCGCCCCCGCCGCCACCCCCGCCCACCTTGTGCAGGTCCTGTGCCAACACCTCCTGCAGAAGCTGCTTGTTTTCCTGCAGGAAGCGGCGGAGGCCCTTGAGCTGCGCCGCCCTGAACTCAGCCGGCCTCGTCCGCCCTGTGCTGAAGGCCTCCCGCAGCCGCCGCAGGGTGTCCGCGTAGGGGTCCATCCTGCAGGGAGGGGGCAGCGTGGGCCGGGGCTCCCCACCTTCTCGGGCATCCTCCCTGTGCCCCTGGCTGTACCTCTATGGGCTCACGGACACTCCTACAAGGACCCGCGTAACCCCAGAGGGCAGGGGCTGACCCCGCACCCCTCCAACACATGTGTCCCACCATTTCCTTCTGAGAACTTGCTGGAGGAGCGAGGCCTGAGTGGGCCGCTGGCAGGGTTGACCTGGAGCCCCCGGAGCTCGGACCCGAAGTTCTGCCTGGATTGCCAGCATCACCCTCCCTCACCCAGCTCTCTGCCTGGGCTTCAAACAGCTCCCGGGCCTATCAGCCCGGCTCTAACTTTGTCAGTGGCTCCCTAGTACCTCTCTAGGGCCAAAGGACTCGGCCCTGAATTAAAGCCCAGAGTGGGAGAGTCTGGGCTGAGTTATGGCACCCAGGTGTCCCGGTGTCCATCCCCAGTCCCTGGCCACAGCTCAGTCTTATCTTTCCCAGGTGAGGTGTGTCCTCACTGTGCACACTTGGGAGTGTCTGGTGACAACCTCAGACTCAGCTTGTCCATGGCCAGATCCCCAGGCCCAGCCTCACTCTTGCCCAATAAATGGGGAAGCCAAGCTGGGTGGGGGTGTGCCCGGAGGGGTTGGAGCTGGCCTGCTGGTTCCTGCTTCTCATCCAAGGCACCTCCTTGCCTGCTCCCCTGCAAGGGGGCAAGGACTGGGGGCTTACTGATCTAGCTGTTTACCAGGGCAGGCTTTGGCTGGGTCTGGGCTGTGTAGGTGACACAGCCGACTTGGCCGGTCCTCGTGCACCTCACGGTCTAAACAGGGAGAACGATGACACAGAAAACGGTTCACAAACAGGGATCGGTGGGCAACAGGCTGTTTGAGGCCAGCGAGAGGCCCCACCGGCGGGTTCCAGCTGCAGCGGGAGGGAGAGGGGCAGGGGCAGGCTCCGGGAGGGCCGGGGCCCTGGGCAGAGGGACTGGCATGTGGTCAGGTTCTGAGAAACGAGACACAGCTAGGCAGGGCCCACCACGGAGCACAGACTACACAGGAGAGACAGCTGGTCTGATTATGACCCCTCCGAGGTACTGGGGGCCGGGGGGGACCTGATTTACCCTCCTCACACCTGCTGTATGGTGGCTTCGGTCCCAGTTTGTGTGTCCCACAGCCCCTCGCCCCACCAGCGCTGAGCCCCCGCCCTTCTGTGATTGACTCTGAGCATCTTTCTGTGGCTTCCAGAGGTTCCACAGTGAGAAGGCAGTACTTTCAGGGGCAGAAATAGACAGTAAGTGTCGCTTGTACAACCATAAACCAAAGACTCAGCTCTGGCTTCGCCTCCCTTTCCTCTCCCAACTCCCCAGCCGTCCCTGTCACAGGCTTGGTGACAACTGGCTGGTCCCAGTCTGCCCACATGCTGCCTCCTCTCCCAGTCTAGGAGCTCCTTGAGGAGGATGGGGTTTGTCCCCACCCACCCACCCCAACCAGGCCCAGAGGGAGGGCTCCTCTGAGGGCGCTGAAGCCTGGGAATCTGAAATCCAGGCACAGCCAGAGTAGGACAGTGCCTACTTCCCTGAGCAGAGCAAGCTCCCGGCCCCAGCCCCTGGCCCTGTGGCCCCATGTTTCACTCCGGAGACTCCCGGGCCCCACACACCCCAGTGTGGGCTCGGACCCTGGGTTCCTCACACCTTTGACTTCTTTGCCTGACATTCCGCTTCCAGAGGCACCGACTCTGCTCCTATCCCCGGTCTCACACCTGCCCCTGCTGACTGCCAGTGTCCCCCACACCCCAACCCAGCTCCTACCAGACCCCCATGCCCATGCCTGACAGGGCAGTGGCCCTGGGGAAGCAGAAGCTGCCTCCTACTTCACTGCTCTAAAACCTTCCCCAGGCGGGGTCAGGGATTGGCTGCAGCTGGACAGAGGACAGGTCTGGCAATTCCAGGCTGTTCTGGGGGTGCTGACAGGGGCTGGCAGGAAGTTATCTGAGGAGAAAAGTCCCCCAGGGGATTACAGGATAAAGTATCAGTGGGACCCTGGCAGCAAATGCTAGCTCCTCCAGGAAGCCCTCAGCCAGCAGCGTTTTATGGCCCACCCAGGTCCCTGCACTGACTCTTCATGTCCAGCATCCCCTCCGTCCCCATGGCACAGGGGTCCTTTATCTCCCCTCTCCTAACAAGTCCAACGGGCGTCCTTGGGGCAGAGGAAGGGGCCATGGCAGCTACAGGAAGCCTGGATGGGCGGGGCACCTGGCAGGACCCTGGGCAAGTTACTTAACCTCCCTGAGCCTCTCTAGGTGACAACAGTGAGTGACAGGGTCCTTGAGAGGATCACGCAGGAAGATAACCGGAATAGATAAGACAGGTCACAGCTGTTGGCGCAGTCGCTCTCCTAAATGTTGGCTACTGACACCGCCTCAGCTCTTTTCTGAGGACACAGTGAGTTCTGGGAAGCAGGAACGAGCGCGGGTTCTGTCCCCTTCCTCACTGGTTGTCCGACCCCGTCCTTCCACCAGCCCTGAGTGTGGTCCAATTCGACCGAGACCACCGGCTGAGGAGGGCTGTGAGGAGTGGCTCCGGGCAGAGCGTGGGAGAACCCACCAGAACCCCCCAGGCACTCCGACGTCATCCTTGCCCCAGACCGAAGTCAGCCTAGCAGGAACCGCAGCCAACCACAGCCCCCAGGCGTGAGTCTGGGCCCGGGCTGGAGACGGCTGTGGGGTTAGGACACCAGGAAGGGAGCCTCAGGGCTGGCGGGGCCCATCTAAGAGCAGAGGGTGGGGGTCACCCCTGAAGGGGCCTCCTGCCCCCCACCATTGGGTGATATGCACTTCGGATGGCTGACACGTACCTTAATGAAGCTGTTAAAACAAAACGAAATGAAACGGAACAGAAGTGAGCCGCCCAAATAGCTCAACAGCCACAGGGATTGGCAAAACAGAAAATAAGACCATGGTAAGATGTCTTTGCAGCCCCATTTTACCAGTTTCCCGTGGCTGCTGTAACAAATGGTCACAAACGTCGTCGCTGAGGACAAAAGAAATGTATTGTCTCACGGCTCTGGAGGCCAGAAGTCCCAGATCAGGGCCGTGCTTCCTCCGACGGTTCCCAGGCAGAGTCCTTCCCCGCCACCTGCAGCTGGGAGGGAAGAGCCGCCCATCCCGGGCAGACGGGATACAAGCGAAAACTTCTGAGGACAAGAGGAAGCCCAGCACGGCTGCGTGTCAGTGAGACAGAGCAGGGGGAAGGCGGGGGACAGACCAGGAGCACCTTGGAGTGGGTACAGCCACTGGAAGGCAGGTGCTTAACTGCTCGAGCCACCTAGGAGCCCCTCGAGGATTCTTTCCAGGAGTTCTGTTGCTACAGGGAAGCCAAGAATGGGTGGTAGCTGGGGGTGGGATGGGTTCAGAGTGGGGAGATCTAGGAGTACATACGGGTGTTTATGGGGTTGAACCAGATGGGGAGCCCTTGTCGGGGGAAGGTAGAAGGGCAGGGCATGTGGGGTGAGGGCTGGCAGAGTTGGGGGCAGAGAATGAGGGACGGATTTCCTCTGGGGATTTCTGTGTTTTCCATGATGTAACACCAGCCAGGGGAAGGAGGGAGTAGGGGAAGGAGGAAGACAGATGTGACACATCTGAGGACAGAACAGTGCCTCTGGTTGAAGCCTGGGAGGTTTGGCCATGACCTTCCATTGAGATCTGACAGACTCCTATGGACTGAGTGTTGCCCCTCTAAAATCATATGGTGGACTTTACAGAGTGCGCCCTTTTTGCCTATTACAAACATTGGCGTTTTTAACATCAGATATGTGTCTCAGTATTTCTCTTAGGTGCTTATCTGGGATTACGACGTGTGGGTGGTATTTTCATCTTCAACTTTCCTAGGTATTGCTATACACGACCTTTGGAGGATATTGGCTCCAAAGAGAATGACTAATGGAAATTTCCCCTAACATTGTATGAAAGCTCCCCTTGTCCCATATCCTCTCTAACACTTGGCATCGTTAGACTTTTGCTTTTGGCCAATGAGTGTAGTCAGTTGACCCCCACAAAGGTATGTCTATGCTCTAACCTTGGGCGTCTGTGAATGTGACCTTCTAAGATCATCCTGGATTAGCCACAGGAGCCCTAAATCCTATGACGAGTGTTTTCATCAGAGAAAGAGATTTGAGATAGAAGAGGAGGCGGCCACGGGAAGATGAGGCAGAGATGGCTGTGAGCCAAGGAGGCCCCCCACCCCAGCCCCCAGAAGTTGGAAGAGGTAAGGCAGGACTGTCCCCTAGAGACGCTGGAGAGAGTGTGGTCTTGTTGTACCTGGATTTCAGGCTTTTGATCTCCAGAACTGTGAGAGAATTAAATATCTGGTTTCTAAGCCACAAAGTTTGTGTAATTTGTTACCTAGGTCCTAGGAAACAGACACAATGGGTACGTAACAGTATCTTACAATTGTTGTAAATTATATTTTACGAGTTACAGCTGAAATTGAGCATAGACTCGTTTGCTTATGGGCTCTTTGGGCTTCTTATCAGTTTTTTGTTTGTTTGTGGGGGGGGTTTTTGCATGGTTTTCTACTGCGTTATTTTTCTTTTGTCTTATTGGTTTGTAGGAATTCTTTTTTTAAAATCTTTTTAAAGAGATTTTATTTATTTATTTGATAGAGAGAGAGAGAGCACAAATAGGCAGAGAGGCAGGTAGAGAGAGAGGGGGAAGCCGGCTCCCTGCTGAGCAGAGAGCCCGATGCAGGGCTCGATCCCAGGACCCTGGGATCATGACCTGAGCCGAAGGCAGAGGTTTAACCCACTGAGCCACCTGGGTGCCCCTAGTTTGTAGGAATTCTGTATATTCACAACAGTAACCTTTTGCTGTATATCTATTTTTTTTGTAATGAATAAACTTTATTTTCTAGAACAGTTTAGGTTCACAGCAAAATTGAGTGAAAAATACACATACTTCCTATCTACCCCCCTTAACCTCCCCACACACCCTCCACATCCCTCACCAGAGTGACACAGGTGTTAAAATCAGCAAATCCACCCTGACCGGTCATCATCCCCCAGACTCCACAGTTACACTGGGGTTCCCACTCGGTTAAACATTCTCTGTGTTCCGACAAATGCATAATAACATGTATCCACCATTGTAATATCATAAAGGATAACTTCACTGCCCTCAACTCCTCTGTGCTCCACACCTTCACTCCGAACCCCTGACAATGACTATATATTTTTTTAACTGTTTCTATAGTTTTTCCTTTTCTGGAATTCCACGTAGCTGGAACCACACAGCATGCAGACTTTCAGATTGGAATCTTTCACTTAATCATATGCATTTAAGTTACACATTTAAGTTACCTCCATGTCTTTTCGTAGTTTGATAGCTCATTTCTTTTTGGCCCTGAATAATATTGCATTGTCTGGATGGACCACAGTTTATTTATCCATTCACCTTTGGAAGGACATCTTGGCTGCTTTCAAGTTATGGAAAGTATGAATAAAGCTGTTGTACACATCCATGTGCAGGTTTTTGTGTGGACATACTTTTCAACTCCTTTGGGTAAATACCAACTATTTCACTTGAACTTTTTCCTGCTCAAATGTTTCTGAGAGTTCAGATATGATTCTTACTTTTGTTCCTCTATAGATCAGGTATAGATAAAGTATCCACCCCCCCAACCTGTTCCTTCCAAGGTTTTTTCTTTCTCTTTGATTTTCTAAAGTTTGAATGTAATATGCCTAGATGTAGCTTTTTGTGTGTTTATCCTACATGGTGTGCTCTGCGATGCCCGGATCTGTGGTTTGGTGTCTGATGTTAATTCGGGGAAATTCTCAGTCATCACTTCTTCAAATATCACTTCTGTTCCTTTTCTCTTTTCCTTCCAGTTTCCCTATTACACATGTGTTATGCTTTTTGTTATTGTCCCACAGTTCTTGGATATTCTGTTCTATTTTTTTCCCCCCAATCTTTTTTCTCTGTGCTTTTCTAATTTGGGTTTTTTTGTGTCATATCTTCAAGCTCAGAGATTTTTTCCCTCAGTCATGTCTAGGCTGCTAATGAGCCCCTCAAAGGCATCCTTTGTTACAGTATTTTTTATCTCTTGCATTTCATTTTGATTCTTTGTCAAAGTTTCTGTCTCTGCTTACATCATACGCCTATTATTGCATGATGTCTGCCTTTCCGTTAAAGCTCTCATCATGTTAGTCCTAGCTTTTTAAAATTCCTGTCTGATAATTCCGACTGACTCTGGTTTCTGATGCTTGTTTGGTCTCTTCAGACTGTTTTTTCCCTTTAGTATGCTTTGTAATCTTTTTTTTTTTTTTTTTTTTGACAGGGGGACGTGATGCAAAATCTTGGCACTGGTAGAAGTTTCAAACCAGATTTCAAATGCCAACCATGGAAACCCGAGCCTGCATACTGGCATTCCCCCCCAGCCCCGGGTGTCCCCCGCAGTACAATGAAAGCCTGAAGCTCTTATTAGATTCAATCTGAGCCTTCTCCTTGGGGAATCCTTTTGCTGTTTATTAGGTGAGTAATGGATATTATTTCGTGTCCATCGGTGCCTATGTGTCATTCATCCCAAGATCCGTAAGTCCCTGGGCAGGGGCGGGGGTGGCCTGGCATACAGCAGGGGGTGCCAGGCACCCAAGTGAAACCCTTGGTTCTGTGAACAGGGTGGCTGGACCATGACCATGGGTGATAGATCTTCTCTCTGTTT